ATATATATATATATATATATATATATATATATATATATATATATATATAGACATGCTACAAAACAGAATAAACCAACAATTTGCTACACTTCTACAGTAATAACATATTAAAATATTACCATCTATATAAAAGTGTTTTTATTGTTTTATCAGTGCCAAAGTGTGCTTGTTGACTGACTTTGCTAGTGTTATAGAGCATTAAGTGTTTTGGTAGTTTTAGTGCATTTTGAATGTGAAATTTACTGTTGTGCAAAGCTGAAAGTTGGTAAGGAAAACTGTGTGAAGAGCTCTGAAAAAGTAGCCCAAGTATTGATCTGTCTTTTACCGTCATTTGCACAGTTTACTCGTGGTGGAAAACTAGGAACTGACATTTGTGAGGTAAGCTCTGAACAACAAAGACACAGCAATACCAAAATAGCAAAAGCACAATACAACACAACAGTGCAACATGGTGTCTTTTTGTTTCAGTACCTGATGTTTCTAGTGATCTTGAAGACACTGATTAGCTTGTTCAGGTGAGTTTGATTAGGGTTGGAGCTAAACTCCGCAGGAAAGTGGCCCTCCAGGACCAAAGTTGCCCAGCCTCTGGTGTTTCTTATTTGGGAGTCACACTTGTGATCTTCATGGTCAAAAGTGACCGGACACCTAAAATGTAACTTTTTTTTGCCTCAGTAAAATCAATGTAATATATTTTTGTTCAATAATATTTTTTATTTTGTATTTTGAGATAATTTCATGGCACTAATTTATATTTATGCAATAATTATGATCAATTTCTGCCCACTGAAAATAATATATATATATTTTTTTTATATTACTTTTCAATGAATGCAGAATTTCATGTTAAAATAGAGTCATTGGGCCTCATTTATCAATCTAACATATAAACGAGCGCAGATTCGTGCGCACAAATCAACTTACGACATACACTGAACAAAATTATAAACGCAACACTTTTGTTTTTGCCCCCATTTTTCATGAGCTGAACTCAAAGATCTAAGACTTTTTCTATGTACACAAAATGCCTATTTCTTTCAAATATTGTTCACAAATCTGTCTAAATCGGTGTTAGCGAGCACTTCTCCTTTGCCGAGATAATCCATCAACCTCACAGGTGTGGCATATCAAGATGCTGATTAGACAGCATGATTATTGCACAGGTGTGCCTTAGGATGGCCACAATAAAAGGCCACTCTAAAATGTGCAGTTGTACTGTATTGGGGGGTCTGGGGGGGTCCGAAAACATGTTTCTCTCTCTCTTCCTCTTCCTGCAGAGAAGCCGGCTCATTCTTTTGCTCCAGGCCAACAGGTGTTGATAAAGTGCCTGAAACCTCCAAAGCTCAGAGAGCCAAAATATCTTGGACCTGCGACTGTCATCGCTGTGACGCGGACAGGGGTGCTGACTGATTTCCAGCCACAGTGGATCCATGCAAGCAGGCTAAAGGCGGCTCCGGAGACAGGAGGGGATCTGTGATCGTATCTGGAGCTGGATCGAGTTCGAGGAGCTGAGAGAGGAGTCGAGGTGCGGAAGGGGCGGAAGGAGAAGCAAGAGTTTACAATCATCATTCCTGATAGTTGTGTTGCCATGGGTATGAGATTGATAAATTTAGGATTAGGGAACTCTGCAGCGAGTGTTTATGTATTCATTGTTTATTTTAAACAAAAGCAGGCAACTGTTAGAAAACACTCTCTGTCTTGTTAAGAGAATGTTCCAGATATGCCTCACCCCTCCTTTTTCTCTCACTCTTCTATATACAACGCATCCTCTCTGAATCCCTCCTTCTGTATCCATCTCTCTCTCTTGATATTATGTTTTAAATATCTCTTACTGCGAGGTATGCATGCTTACATGTATACATTAGTTCTTGGTTTAAAGGCCCCGATAAGGACATGAATGTTAGGACTACAAGGGTAAAGGAGTTCGAGAGAAACTCTGAAGACAGTTCAGCATTCTTCGCAAAAGTCTATTCCTAATATGTCCATGTTTTTCTGTACATGTGGCCATTTTATATAAACACATGTTCTTGGCCAAAGATCCTACGTGTATGTTATTCATATCCTCATTGGTTAAGAGGATGAAACTCCCCTCGACATATGCCTATATAATATCTGTATTTCTATGAATAAATTGAAGTATTGAGGATACATTTGACTGTGTGTTTTCTTACTTCCCGGCCGTCTATACTTTAAGTAACTGAGAATTCTTCAAGGTGGCAAAGAGAATTACAGAGGGACCAAATTGTTATTCTTTATTAACACCGATCAAAACTGAAAGTTTTTCGGCCAAAAGTGACCAAAGAGCACCAGTTAAAGGAACCATTTACTAAGCAGCTTAATGACTTCTCACAGATTTTAGCCATAAATTTAATCCAAACAATTGATCCTAACCAGGTGTTAAATGAAAATACTAAATAAACAAAACTACAAATTACAAAAAATTTAAGGAATAATGTAGTCAGCCGGACATTGCAAAATAAACGCAGACTGATAAAAAGTCTTCCGCTATGAAAAAAATAGTCCAGTTGACTTGCAGCAATATTAAACCCTGTTAAGTCCTATGACATGATTTCCCCTACAATCGACAACCAAGATGGCACGTGTGTTTATATGACTAGAAAAAGTGCAGTGTCATAGGTGAGATATGAAAGTAGACCCATGACGTCATTTGTTGATATTAGTGCGGCCAAATTAATTTAATTTAATATTCATTTAATTTCATTTGATTTATTTTATGAAGTAACTGCATCCTTATGTGGATAAACATTATCTGTTGAATTTAAGAACATCCTGATTTTTTTTATATTTTTGATATTCAATAAAAAAAGATGAATAAAATAAATAAATAAATACAATTTAATACTGACATTTTTGTCCTCTAGGAACCTCTAAAATTGTGCACAAGGGTTAATTTAGTGCAGTAAATATGTCTGTTGATGGCATACTCATTTCAAAATAGGGAAACCTGGATCCCAATGTTGAAGGATTTGATTATTTTACTATACAATACAATGTAACATTTATTCCCACTGTGTAATTTCTATTAGTGTAATATAATCCCATGTGTGATAAATTCTTCTTATTTCTGATTTTTGATTTCTCATTGCATATTTAATATCCATTTTAAATACACCTGCTGAAATTATGCTGCCCAGCTCCACTGTACAGGTTCACAAGCACATCACATTCATGCTGGTGATTTCTGGCTATGGAGAGTGTTTGCTGAGAAGACACAAAGACAAGAGATTTCCATTAAGTATTTACTTGACCTCTCAGGGTCAACTGTCTGTCAATTCTAAGAACGTTAATTTCCTGGTTAAGGGAAATAACTTTCTTACTGTACAATACTACACAGAGCTTGTAGCATAAATCTGCATGATTAGGGACTGCGGTTTTGAGCAAACAATGAACATCCTCAAGTGTGATACAAGTAAGACTTTATTAACTACATAAACACTTAAACTAGTCTAACACACACACACACACACATACAGTTGGTATAGGAACAGGATTCAAGCTTAGGCAGTAAAGAGAAGAGAAATTAAACATGACGCTATGGTATCATTGGATATTCAGCAGATCTACAGCCTGAAGGAAACATCAGTTTCTTAGTTCAAACACACCTTTGTAAAAAGGTGCAAATGATACTTAATGTATCAATTAATAAGACTAAGTTTGATACTTGCATGTCTTGTCTGTCTGACAGAGAGTCCTGATGCAATCTGAAGGCTCAAGTTGATCTTTACTGAAGTTGGTTGATGAAAAAGAAGCCGTTTGAGTCAGATGAACTTGGTGAATGGAAAGTCAAGGCCCGAGGCCTGGCACAGACTTAGGGTGTCCTTATAGCTCACATCCCCATCTTCTCAGAATCTAACAGAACCGCAGACTGGAGGTGGGTCACTGATGTGAGGCCTTTAAGGCCTGACAAGATTCACGCCTCTCAGGATGAGCTTGTCCAATGAGAAAGTTTGAAATTCCAAGCGGGAGTTTGGAAAAACTGGGGAGTTTTATAACCCTTTGTGTAAAAGCATGGTAATTTGCATATGGAACCTGAATCAAAATTACTTAAGATTCTCAGAACACTAATATATTGCCTATGTACCAACATATAATACACACTCTCGTTTAGATCATCAGAAGACTAATTTATAGATACTAAACATGGTAGGATTACATATAGGTAAGATGACAGGAACGAGTGGTTCCATCATAAGCCTGCATAAAACAGTATACAATATAAAAGACAATATACAAGGACAGTAACAACATACACAATGACCTGAAGGATATGTGTGTTCATTCAAAGAAAGGTTTTCCTATTAATTAATTAGAGAAGAGTCCATTTTTACTGTGCATTGTGTCTTTCCTATGGAAAATGTAGTGAAAGGGAGAACTCTCAACATGCCATTAGGTCGTAAAGTGTATCTGGTCTAGCAAAAGGTGTCGTGGTTGCCATGGTGACCAGGGGCCTGGTGTCGTTCGCAGACATCCTGGCACCCAGTATGTTTATTGGCTGAGGGGTCTGTGACTATTTGTTAATCTAATGAATAATTGATCTGTTAAATCTAATGAAAAACGGTGAGTCTGATTGGTCCATACGCTACAGGGTCATGAATAATAATGTTGAACTCTGCTCTGATTGGCTGTTTCACAGTGTGGCTCATTTCAGTAGCTTACACAGCAGGAAGGAAGCACGGGGAAAATATATATTTCAATACTGTCTCTCGCAGTTATATCGTTGGGTAATTATACTGTAATCAATGCAGGCATCAGGAAGCCACTATTAATATGCAGGGCATTGATACTGCTTTCAAATGCA